TGGTACTTTGAATCTTCTCAGTTATAGTTAGGATTGCGACTGATCATCTTGAGATGCAGTTACACCTAGCTGATGAGTCTCAAATAAGACGAAACGCGCGTCCTGTATTCCAATGCTAGCCAATATCTATCTCTGCTTATAATATATGTGACCTAATGGTTATATCGAGGCAATCCGTACAATATGCACATATCCCAAATGAGACTAATCTATTGCAATTCTATGAATGGGAAGATCCAAACTGTCAATAAAAATGAACTATAAAGGTTATGACCAGAGAGAGAATTAATTAACACTTATTGCATATTTTATAACAACCATAGTTATTGTAGGCACCTTTCAAATATATATATATTGGTTAAGGTTTCCACAATGCACATGAACACAGTAAAAGAATAAATCAGAACATGAGAAGTATGTTTGAAAAAGAACAAATAAAATCAACTGACCTAGGATCAAAAATAATACAACGGAATATTTGAAAGATGGTGCATAACATAAAGTTAATTCCGTAACTCAAATTTTTAGTACTACTAACGAGTTATTCGAGTTAGTTATAGCTAAATTTTAGGGAACACATGTCAGTCAGTCATATGCAACGTAGATCTTCGTACGTAAGTACATCAGTTCATGTTGCCATACCACATCAGTGCAGAGATATACATGTCAATTCAAATCCAATAGTAGAAGAGGTAGTAAAAGTATTAGAAGTAATCGGAGAGGTTAGGATGAGAAGATATTATTCAAGAACTATGATTCAGTGAGATAAGTTTAGAAAGTCAAAACTAGAGGGGTTGAAGAATCCAGAAGATTAGGATTTGAGAGAACACAAAGAATAAATGCATCGGCGCTATTGCAAACGGTTTTGAGCCATGTCATTCATGGTCTCTAACCATCGATTATTATCATCTCGAGGACCCCAACCAGGAAGTAGACAACTACCGACATGACTCAGTCCACTTGTCAATGACTTCATGGATTTCTGCCATGTTTTGGTCTGGCCACCCCTAACTTTCTTCCAAGCTATCTCTACACCACAAAACAAAGCTCGTCGAGGCAGTCGGTGGTTAGGCATACGCAGCACATATCCCAACCACCTCAACTGGTGAAGTCTCACCACTTCACCGATTGATCCGCCATCCTTGCCTAATACTCGTTTCCTAACGACAGCATTGCTCGCTCGGTTTTCCCACGGTATACGAGCAATGCTTCGAAGACACCTATGATCGAAAACCAGTAACCCACGAATATCTTCTACTCTCACTGGCCATGTCTCACAGCCATATAGGAGAACAGAGCGAACTGCTGCACAGTACACTCGTCCTTTGATTAGAGAAGGGATATCACGCCTACGCCATAAGTGACGCAGGTTGGAAAAAACCAATCGAGCCTTCTGTATCCGAACTGAGATTTTGTCAGTCACCAGGCTTCCAGCGCAACTACTCTAGGACGCCTAAATGTGTGCCTGTGTTCCAGGACCTGTCGTAGTGTGAAGATGTGGTCTATACAACCACGTCCAGGTCGAAAACTAGCCTGGTTTTCTCGAGTCTGTTCTTCACGAGCTTTCGTTAAGCGTTGAAGTATTACTGAGGCTAATATTTTAGATACTATATTAGTTAGACTTATTCCCCTGTGATTGTCACAAAAAGACTTTTGTCCTTTCTTGTAGATTGGGACAATTAGCGACTGAAACCAGTCAGATGGGATTACGTCCAGTTCCCAGATTATACCTAGGATCTCGGTCAGTCTAACTGTTAAAACTGGACCACCATCCTCAAACATCTCAGGGGTCAGTCTATCAGGACCTGCTTCTCTACCTCCCTTGAGATTTCCTATAGCTTTCTCAACTTTATGTAGACTGGGAGGATTTAAATCGAAGTGTGGCTGAAGACCAGTTGAACTGATCCCTAAAGTTTTCTACACATCGGTCGTATCTCCTGGATTGAGAATGGATAATAAGACCATCCTTTTCCGAAATAGTCTCACTCACACTTGAGTTCCTAATACCAGTTTCCTTGATGAGTCTAAATAGTTGCCTACTGTTGCCTATCACGGCTGCCTTTCTCTCTCTCGCTTTCTCCACCCACCATTGTTCTCGATCATTGCGTAGGCTTTTTGTCAGCCTAAGTCTAAGCTGACTCCGCTCCTCATCGCCCTCAAAGCCAGGCGGGACGAGTTTTCGAGCATCCATCAGTTCGGTAGATGCTACTGAGATCCACGGCTTCATCATAGCCTAAAGCTCGACCTTGCTATCAGATATCACTGCTGTTTCCAAAGCCTTTTGGATATCATACCAACCTGCCTCCGGATAGGAATCACTCACACGGTCACCTAACTGTATTTCTAGTTGCGCATGAAATATATTCTTCATTAAGTAGAACCTTAAGAGGCTTTCTTACGGTGACTTTCCTACCTGCAGTAGGACGCAAACAAATATGTACTCGCACTAGGGCATGATCTGAATCTAGACATGTGCCCCAGAACGAGCGACAATCGTCTATCGAACCTCTCCATCGGTGGCTGATGGCGATGTGACCTATTTGGGTTCAACGTTGAGACGACTTTGGGGGTCGCCACTTCAAAAGATGCTTTTCCTTATGCCTAAAGTTAGTGTTTGCTAGAAATAGGCGGTTATCTGAGTATAGTTGCAACAGACGGTCGCCATTGTCTGTTCTCTGAGCCGCGACATCATAACATCCACCTAGGTGTCTTTCCTTTTCACCCAGTCTACCTACTTGAGCATTAAAGTTACCAGACATTATTACTACATCAGAGCGCCTAGCTTTTTGGAGGAGGTCCGAAAGCTTTCTGTAAAACTCATCCTTAACCTCGTCTGAACTGCATTCAGTGAGGGCATAGGCAGATATGACGAAGAGGCAACGACGAATGTCCCTAACTTTCCGAGTCCTTACTGTTCCGTTCAGTCGGACAGCGCACAAGCGACTATCTACTGGGATCCGGTGTAGGAGCGCTAGTTCTGCCCTACGACTCAATACTATACCTACACCAGCAAGACCTCCGGAAGCAGCATCAGGGCTTCCAGATACACGAAGAGTAAATCGAGCTACTACTTTGTTTTGATAAGGTGAAATCAGATTAATGACTTTACTAGGATTCTTTATGCGCGTTTCCGAGACGCAGCACACATCGATTGAGCGAGATTCTGAAGTCCTAGCTAAGGAAGCCTGTTGCCCTATTTAACACAATGTCCGTACAATAAATGCTCCAACATGTAGTTTAGAACGGGGTTTAAGGAAATCAGGAACGATGCAGTGAGCTGAAGGAATGCGACTAGAGTTAGTCGTAAAGATAAGAGAGGAATTAGGGGATGTAAGAAGGATTTGATATTGACCAATTTAGTCTCACGTGCTGTTACGGGTATGAGGGCGGTTGTCACTTCCCGGCTGCCCACACCATGGAAGGGTGTTTCTTGAGGGACCTGAAAAGGAAGATAGATTAGTGTTGGTCTTAGAGACCTGGGTGCGTGACCGCAGAGCCCAAGGGACAACTGCTTGAGGCCGGTCACACACGGCCTTTTGATGAAAGGATTTTTGAATGTTAGCTCCGCTCTTGAAAGCCCTTAGTGGGCACCCTTACCGCTGGAGACGAGAATCTGTGAGGTAGGGTGAGGTGTGACATTTTTAGGGTCGACGTTTTCTAACCCTTCCTTCCTTATGAGAAGGCAGCATCGCTGCAGATGCTGGTTGTCTGAGGGAAACACCTTACTGCTGCTGTCACACCCCTCTGCAGTCAGCAGTACGACTTCACCCTCAGACCTTGAGTAGTTGGTTTTAGTCTGATCGGCTCCAATCGACCTGCCTGGCATGGTAGAACCTTCAGGAACATATGTTCCAGCCAATATAGCTTGGTTGGGTCATCACGATAGGCAAGCCCGATCACCATGTCAAGGTAGCAGCTACGGTCGGGAAAACATGTAAATAATTCCAATGTGTAATATCGCATAACCAGAGAACAAAAGAATTATGCTATCAGCATAGTGTACATCAGTCAGTTACATGAGTCTAGAGGTTAGATGAGGATTGATCAGTTAAGCTATTAGTTCAAATCCATTATACTTCTGTTCAAATAAATTTTTGTGTGCCTCATAGTTAAATTATCTTCAATTTCTTAAAAGCTAAAGTGTACTCTGATCATGAGTAAGATTTTATGACTGCCACCTATTACGAAGTTTCACTCTCCCAATAAATGAATCGCAATCTTTAACCCATATTTGATTGGGAATAAACATTTTAGTAACAGGTTTGCAAAATGTTTTAATCAACTTCTGAATTAAATTAGCATAACAACAAAAAAGACCTCTTTTCATGTACAGAAATCTAAGTGGTATACCTACGAAGCAGAGTATTTATTAGAATTGTTTTACACACAGAGAGATGAAAAGTTATTTTTGCTTTGACCATCTGAACGATTTAGTTGCGGACAATTATTGAAGTTCCCCATAACTCTCTTGGGTTGATTCAGAGTAGATAATGTGGTTTTTATTTATTTTCATGAAAAACAATTGTCTACAAATGGTGTTAAACAAAATTAACAGAAACATGAACGACAAAGTAATTTGATCTTAAATTTGGAAGCTTTGTAGTATGGTCAATTGTTTTTTTCCTATCCTAAGGTAAACAAATACGATGATAAAGAAGAATGGTAAAATACTAGGAAAAAACTGCTAAAATAAAAAATATAGGTAAAACTACAGATGAGATTTATGCCTTGCTTAAATATATAAGTTGGTCAGCTACTAAAGTGCAACACGATCTGTATTCTTTCAATCGGTTTACGTCTACCAACATAACAAGTTGATGAAATATGATCAAAAAGATTCTATACAAACAATTTACAATAAAATAATACAAATTAGCAATATATCAAATGTATTTTCACAATGACTAACTCAACAGTGGATAGAGTTAAGTAAAAAACTAACTATAAATCCATGCATACACAACAAATATGTGATAGATAGGATAAATTTCAAAACTTACTGAATTTATTAAATGCCTTAAACTTTGAACCAACTTATGAACTCCATGCCGAAGTTGTGAACGTAAATGCTTAGGCCATAAATTAGTGTTAAGTAATTTATCAGATGATAAATTATTACTTCCAAAATTATTATTCATTGATACTTCGTATGAGTTTACTTTCGCAATAGATTTTAACTCACTACTATGACAATTCACACATAAATTCCGAACTAAGACAGTCCAAGTTTTTGTCAATTGAAGTATTTGTGTTAAACAATCGAATTCCCAATTGCTATTGTTATTATTAGAAGTATCTTTATCTTTGCATAAATTGGTATGCTGATCAAATGGAAATGATAATAATGATGGAAGATATATAGTACCCATTGAGATAATTAATTTCGATGCAAAACGTTGATGCAAAAAATAATTAAAAACACTTGGTAATTCCGTATGTCCAACAGTTAAATGTGATAGACAACGTATACCTGCTTCAATTAAATCTAATGTAGCATTTAATACTGATGTATTGAACATAATTTTTGATTGATCATCATTAAAATGATGTGAAGTATAGTTTAGAAAATGAAACTCATCTTTTTGTTTAGTTGAATAATTTTTCATCGAATTTTTAAAATTTAACGATTTCGGGGATAATAGCAATGAGGGCTGATATAATTCATTGTTATTTGCCAATGATACTGATAATGATGAAGTAGTTGTTATTATTGGACATTTTTCAACACATTCATTACTAATCTTATTGTTAATTATATTGTCTGAATGCTTTTTATGTGTATTGGAATGATCATCTTCACTTTTACATTGAAGCGACATATTTAATATTGACTGACTAAGATTATCACACAATGTATGATAGTAATTTTTTTGTTCATTTATTTCACCATGCAATATTTGTAGGATTAAATCAATTCCATTGTGCTGAAATTGGAAAACAAACATAATTTACAAATGAGAATTAACGATAGTATATGATAAACACTATTTGCATATAGATATATACAGAATTAAGTCAACCAAGAACTCGACTATACATTTGTAAACCAGTTTACAGATACTCTATGACAGTTTAAACTAAAGTAGGTAGAAAAGTGCATAAACCAACTGTTATAAAATAAATATTTCAATATCTCAAATCTTTTATAACGAAAACATATCTGTATTATCAGTATGTCTATCGTGAGAGCTGAATGAGAAATTCATGTTGTCTAATGAATAAATAACATAGTTCATGAAAGTGAGTTGTTATGTTGCTAATGTCTTTGATTTAGGACATTTTATTGTTAAGTTATGAATTGTTTCTATAACCTACAACCTACGTCTATTTTTCACAGTTTACTAAATTACAATAAAAAAATTAATATGCTTATCACCTAAAAAACGACGTGACACATCATTCTTAATACTGTGAATAACTTTAAAACCATGTGGCTTTAAGATCACTCTCTAACAACTGTGCAGTAAATCATATAAAAAAACACAAAAGTATTATATGAATATTACTTCACTATATAGTACTGGTTAATGTATTCGGCTATGAGTTACATCTTCATTTGAGTATGGGAGTTAGTGATACTATTCGATTCCTCAGATGAATATAAAGCGAATCAATACAAACTAGTGACGTGTTTAATATTTAAGTGGATATAAGACGTGTTTTTACCGATTATTTTGGCTTATTTTTCAATTACGGTAGGCAACCACAGATCTACAACATCTGAACGATTCAACAACGAACCCTACGCTCCACACATGACTTGGTTCTAAGATTAAGCACACCTTTACTCATGATGAATTAAGGATCTGAATTTCAATAACTGGACCAGATGTTCAGACTGCGCTTCAACTACGTAGGTTTACGGGTTGAAATAGTATCATTGACCCCTAAAAAAATATAACCAAGTATATAAATCTGAACTTCATAAATAGGTTACAAAAGCACATTCACAATAGTAGCTAAATAGACCTAATTTGAAACCAACAACTGAATAATACCTTATATAATATCATAGTTATAAAAACTTATGGTGGTCAGTCAAAACAAAGTAAGTTCACTGATTACGGGATGAGTGACTGTTGAAAATTATTTCAAGATGCCATGAAAAACTAATGCATTAAGTGTTAGTTTACAGTGCTGTCAGGATTACAACTGTTCAACAACTAGATACTCCTATTATTTAAGCGAGCTACTAGTAATTATCACTAAACACTATCACATTTGATTATTTTAAGGATACGTACAAAAAGGGAACGAATAAATAGCAAAACCGTAGTAGCGAGGATGATAACACTAAAGCAGTTTTAAATGTTGCCTCTAGTGAAACGATTAACTGGGTTGTTCTAGACAACCTTACTAACTTATGACTGTCACCCCCAATGAAGCATAGGCCACCGACCAGTATTCTCCAACCTACTCTGTCCTGGACTTGCCTTTCCAGTTCTGTCCAATTTTTGTTCATCCTACTTATGTCTGTCTCCGTTTCTTGACGTTATGTGTCCCCTGGCCTTCCTCTTTTCCTTCGACATCGTGGATTCCAAGTGAGGACTTGTGACGCAGTTGGGTGCATTCCGCATTGTATGTCCAATCCACTTCCAGCACTTTTTTCCGATTTCCTCCTCCGCTGAATTTGGTTTGTTCTCTCCTGCATTAAGTTGTTGCTGGTGGTGTCTGGCCAACATATCTGCAGTATGTTGCGTAAACAATTGTTAATGAACATCTGTATCTTGTGGATGATGGCTTTAGTAGTTCTACAAGTTTCCGCCTCATACAATATAACTCTCTTTACATTTATACTGAAAATTCTGATTTTGGTTGATAGTTGTTTGGAGTTCCAGATGTTCTTCAATTATAGAAATACAGCCCTCGCTTTGCCGATCAGTGCCCTCACAACTACATCGGATACACCTTGCTCATCAATGATGCTGCCCAGATATTTAAAGGTTAGTACGTCCTCAACATAATAAGGTAGTTTTGGTATATTCAAATGTAGAATTGAAAAAAAATCTCAAGGAAAGCTTTATAAGTACTGTAGTTACTTTGACGTCTTAACTCACCAAATCAGTTAATGGCTTGTAGACAATTAGTCATAATTAACGTAAACTCTGTCACATATCTGCGTAAACCCAAGTATGCACATCAAACCAGGACAACGGGATGTATTACAGATATGTCGTATACATTCAATACTTAAAGAGAGACAATAAACAAGAAGAGCGAATACTTAGCCTTTATTTTAGTTATGTATAACTGATTCGCTATTTCTGAGTGCACACGACACCTGACTGAATTGCAATTGATATTTCAGTTGAATATACATATTTTGACTTCATGATAATACACTTCCCGACCGTAGCTGCTACCTTGACATGGTGATCGGGCTTGCCTATCGTGATGACCCAACCAAGCTATATTGGCTGGAACATATGTTCCTGAAGGTTCTACCATGCCAGGCAGGTCGATTGGAGCCGATCAGACTAAAACCAACTACTCAAGGTCTGAGGGTGAAGTCGTACTGCTGACTGCAGAGGGGTGTGACAGCAGCAGTAAGGTGTTTCCCTCAGACAACCAGCATCTGCAGCGATGCTGCCTTCTCATAAGGAAGGAAGGGTTAGAAAACGTCGACCCTAAAAATGTCACACCTCACCCTACCTCACAGATTCTCGTCTCCAGCGGTAAGGGTGCCCACTAAGGGCTTTCAAGAGCGGAGCTAACATTCAAAAATCCTTTCATCAAAAGGCCGTGTGTGACCGGCCTCAAGCAGTTGTCCCTTGGGCTCTGCGGTCACGCACCCAGGTCTCTAAGACCAACACTAATCTATCTTCCTTTTCAGGTCCCTCAAGAAACACCCTTCCATGGTGTGGGCAGCCGGGAAGTGACAACCGCCCTCATACCCGTAACAGCACGTGAGACTAAATTGGTCAATATCAAATCCTTCTTACATCCCCTAATTCCTCTCTTATCTTTACGACTAACTCTAGTCGCATTCCTTCAGCTCACTGCATCGTTCCTGATTTCCTTAAACCCCGTTCTAAACTACATGTTGGAGCATTTATTGTACGGACATTGTGTTAAATAGGGCAACAGGCTTCCTTAGCTAGGACTTCAGAATCTCGCTCAATCGATGTGTGCTGCGTCTCGGAAACGCGCATAAAGAATCCTAGTAAAGTCATTAATCTGATTTCACCTTATCAAAACAAAGTAGTAGCTCGATTTACTCTTCGTGTATCTGGAAGCCCTGATGCTGCTTCCGGAGGTCTTGCTGGTGTAGGTATAGTATTGAGTCGTAGGGCAGAACTAGCGCTCCTACACCGGATCCCAGTAGATAGTCGCTTGTGCGCTGTCCGACTGAACGGAACAGTAAGGACTCGGAAAGTTAGGGACATTCGTCGTTGCCTCTTCGTCATATCTGCCTATGCCCTCACTGAATGCAGTTCAGACGAGGTTAAGGATGAGTTTTACAGAAAGCTTTCGGACCTCCTCCAAAAAGCTAGGCGCTCTGATGTAGTAATAATGTCTGGTAACTTTAATGCTCAAGTAGGTAGACTGGGTGAAAAGGAAAGACACCTAGGTGGATGTTATGATGTCGCGGCTCAGAGAACAGACAATGGCGACCGTCTGTTGCAACTATACTCAGATAACCGCCTATTTCTAGCAAACACTAACTTTAGGCATAAGGAAAAGCATCTTTTGAAGTGGCGACCCCCAAAGTCGTCTCAACGTTGAACCCAAATAGGTCACATCGCCATCAGCCACCGATGGAGAGGTTCGATAGACGATTGTCGCTCGTTCTGGGGCACATGTCTAGATTCAGATCATGCCCTAGTGCGAGCGCGTATTTGTTTGAGTGGTCCCCATCCGGAGGCAGCTTGGAATGATATCAAGACGGCTGTGGAAACAGCAGTGATATCTGCTAGTAAGGCAGAACAAAAGGCTAGGAAGAAGCCGCGGATCTAAATAGCATCTACCGAACTGATGGATGCTCGAAAACTCATCCCGCCTGGGTCTGAACATGACGAATAGCGAAGTCAGCTTAATCGCAGGCTGTTAAAAAGCCTATGCAATGATCGTGAACGGTGGTGGGTAGAGAAAGAATGTGAGGTGGAAAAGGCAGCTGCGATAGGCAACAGTAGACAGCTGTTCCGACGTATCAAACAACACGGTATTAGGAATCCGAATGTGAGTGAAACTATCTCAGAAAAGGATGGTCTTATTATTCATTCTCAATCCAGGAGATTGTGTCGACGGGTAGAACACTTCAAGGATCAAGAAACAGATCAAAAGGGGGATACAATCAAAACAAATGTGCAAACAACGACAGGTTTAAGTTCAACAGCAACCAATCATGTGAATAGGTGTAGACTACGTCGTTGGAGTCCGACAGAAAATAAAAACCGATGGTTAGAGAACTTGAACGTCATGGCTCAAAGTCGTTTGCAATGGTGCAGCTGCATCCACTCTCTTTGTGTTCTCTCAAATCTTAATCTATTGGATTCGTCAACACCTCTACCTTTGTCTTTCTATACTTATCTCGCTGAATTATACTTCTTGAATATTATCTTCAAATCCTAATCTTCTTCATTACCAGTAATTTTTATACTATCTCTACCACTATGGAATTTGAATTGACAATTGCGTCTCTGTGCTAATATGGTATGGTAACCTGAACTGACGTACGTACGTACGAAGTTCTAAGTTGTAATTGACCGAAACTCTTGTAAGACTCACAAATAACAGTAAAATTTAAATATTTTCCACAGATGACATTGGGAGTTTTTTATCAGTTCTGATTAACTGCTTAGTAGCGGCACCGTAGTTAATGAATTTTATCTGGGGCGCGGTTATCGCTAGTTGAAATTGCTCGAATATGAGGCAACAAAAGCCTGCTATTGAGGTGATTTTCTACACATTCGGTGGTAGAGGGTCCAACATACTTAAAACTCCAAAATAAAAATGAGACTGTTTCAAAAAACGATTGAAGGGATTTATGATGCATTCGCAGAAACTAGACTGTCACACTGCTGAAACTAACACGGGGGGTTACTGATACAACAAAAGTATCCAGACAGGGTGGGTTGAAAATCGTGGCTTCATGAGAAAGTTAGGTGTATAAACCATAGACAAAACGCGGTCGGTAAACTATACCGGGAACTCTGAAGATAAGGTTTATAGAATGGCTGATTTTATTGATGTTTCTGGGGACTTAGAAACCCAATGAAATCAAATACCTCTGTGCTAAGAATTACATACTGTATTAAACATATAATATTGAGTAAAGCTATTATTACCACTATTAGTAATACGATAAACAGTGATGAACCTCAAGTGTTTGAAATATTTAAAGACTCAGAAGAAAGTTGTAAGCTTTGGTCACTTTGGAAACTTTAAAAACAAATATTATAGTAAGTATACAGTAATATTTTACGTTTATAATGGGATGAACGCCCAACATTGGTAAGATGAATTGCTTTTTTTCAAGTGGTATTCAATATATTTTAGTAATGGTAAGAGAAACAGTGATTTAGAGGTCATTAGCAGTTAAAATTCGAAAACCACTGCATTGTAGTGTGCAGGGGTTGTTAAGGGTTTTAGAACCACTTGGTCAATACATATAGCTCTCACCTAACACGTCAAGATGTTCATTAAATCTCAAACAAACTGCTCGATCAAAATCCGTCAGGTTAGTGGTCTGTTGGAAAAGGTTTACAGAATCGCAACTAATCTTAAACCTACTGTCTCGCAAGGTTGGTCGCGACAAGGCATTTAAATGCCCCGAGGCTGAGTCAGTTCTTCTACTAAAAATACAGTGTGTTCACAGTCTCTGGTAGGAAAATCTTGCTGAATGTCTTTACGTAGAGAGTGCACTGAAAAACAAGGGGACAAAAAGCGGATACGAGGTGAGATAACAAGGTTGATAGGAACTGAGGATATATTCAGGATAATTTATTGACAAGCGCTGATGAATAAAAAGGGTAAATACACTAAGTAAAATGAAACCTAGGTGCGGTTCGTTCGAACTAGCTAATAAGAACCAATAGGTATGTACATGGTGTAAGAACCAAAAACTATTTAAGTGACTAGTATTAACAGGTAACATTGGGAGATAGCGCAATATGGGTAACTTTCGTTGTGCAAGAAATTAAGCTGCTTATTGTGAAATTGCTGGTTCTAGATTGAACTCAACAGTGTAACCACCACATTGACGTCGGCAGACCATAGAACTAAGAAAATCCTTATTCATATAAACTTTCCATGTTTGCTAGCGAACAAATGAAGATTAGTTTCATTTAGGCTATCAGTAGTTTAAAGACACACGATCTCTAAGCAACTGATATAATACAGTTGTCATTATACCACTGAATCGACCAGTACGGTCATATGATTCGAGATTTAGTTATAGAGAAAAAACAGTAAGAAGATGAAACCCAGGTAACTTATTTACCCTGCACTTGAATATGAACTACTCTCTGAGAAGTCACATAATACCAACTGTTTAACCAAGTTCATGTAGGCAGAGCGAGGTTCAAACTTGCGACCAAGCTGTTAAAAGTCGAACGCCTTACCACTGAGGTACCGTGGAAATAAAGCATCAAAGATTATCAGTCATGAATTAAAATGAAATCTATAGGTTTTTCAAAAACTTACACGGACAACATAAGACTTTGCGGCATTGTTTCTACATGTCAAGTTTGCTAGTGCCCCTAGAATACACCGGGATACAGGGTTATCGCTTCCCGTATTGGTTGTACAATAGGGTTCGTAGCTCACATTGCATAAGCTGAATCTCAGTCGCGAAAGGAGTTGTTTTACTACATTGACGGAGACATCTGATTCCAACTTATCAACTGCGACATCTGAAAGATTTCGTATGGTCCATAGGGCATTAGCTATTACCCGCGAAGAATGACAGTCTAAACAATGAGAGAAGAAATCCAACAGTGGATCTTGAGCAATTATCTCGCATTTGACAGGAATCCAAGCAGACAAAACTCGCAGAAGTCTGGTAGCCGTCCATAAAACTTTTTCGTAAGTCGAAATCATGATAACCCTTAAAAGGGAAGATAGTGCACCTTGTTCTTTAAACGCTTTCTTCGTACTTTCAGATCTGTATGCTAATATGTACAAACAGTCACAAAGGACTGCTAAAAACTTTGGATTGACGCTTTGCTGTATGCTTGTAGGCGATGTTAATGAACATGGCGTGTCTAATTTTACACAATCAACGGAATAATTTAAAAGGTTTATCAGGCGATTAGAAATGCATGTTCGACTAATAAGACTTTTAGATGTTTTGTAACTCAACAATATGTTATGTAGGGCGGCCAAACAAAAGTATAATACGGATTCAAAAGGAAAAAGTAAAAGTCCGTTGATCACATCAAGCCCTCCATAATGTACTATCATAACTAGTCCATCGGAACACTGAGAAAGATAGTTATTGATACCGCTCATACAATGAAGTACATCCACGTACTTCGCAGTAGAAGGGAAAAACACAGGTATCTTTATATTGCAAAAAATATCTGGATATATACGGGCGATAAATGACGCATATCCACCTTTGCACAAATGGAATAAATAAGTGTATGCATTAAGAACGACATCAATATTCACATCAGAAAGACTCTGTACGACCTGGATCACTGCCACGGAGTGTGCCTCGTAGAAAGAAATAAGATCACAACATGTATATTCAAGATCATCTGAATGCTCAAAATCGAAAGCTGGCCATGTGTTACATGAAGCTGGCGTTGTTAAACTGACTCCAGAATCGGAATTATACAAAGACGAAGAGTCACTCCCACTGCTATCAAAGTCAGCTTCAAAGTTCATTGCCACCTTGACTTTTGGAAGCATAGTCAAATCTGGTAAAGATCATTGTCAGGATTAACACCGACCACGATGATCTCAGAACCGAAGTTAAATAGTGCTTAAGGTCAAGCAGCAGTGTTTCACTGTTGAAAAACACACATACTCAATCTCTTAAAAAAAGAAGATCATCCATTATCTAATATCTCAAAAATCTTTATTCAGAACGAAAAATATCCATAACTAAGTTAAAAGCTGATTTCCACCTATTTCCGCCTATTTCTGCTGTTTACTTTTGTTGCAGTTAAATCCGATATGGTTTACATAAGCTAGTATGAACCTAATGATTTTTTTGAGCCTGATTTTTGTTTTTTCTGTACGATCTCGGGTATTTGGTGATGTCTGATGGATGATAGTCAGCTTCCCAACTGCATTAACTTCATTTATTGCTTGAAACTAAGTAAAAACTACGGTCAGAATCCTTCTGCAAAACTTTCTGCTTGTGCCAGGCTCTACTTTTCGCCTTTAGCAAGCATTCTGTGCCTCAACTAACCTATGTTCTCCTCGTTCTAGGTGTTTACTTTTCCTTAATTGTATAATTCACTCGAACTTACATTTCCCCATCGGAAAATCCTTGACTGTCATTGGCTGATGGATTATTTTAGTACGCTACTTTGTGGCTCTCCCAAGGGCTTTGCTGTCATTGTATAAAGAAACCTGATTTGTATGATGAGCAACCTCAACCTTTCTGGGTGCCAATAGAACACATTCTCTCCGCCCTATCAAGAATATTTGATCCAGTTAGCAGGGCCTGAGACGAACGGATGAGAATATCCTATCGTGTCACTGTATCGTTGATCTTCGTTTTGTTTACCGAGTAAGGTGAACTCGTAATAACAGCAAATATATCATCTGTCCGGACTCTAGTACCTGAAGGAAGCCGGTAAATCTTTCCAACCAAGTATCCTTTGCCATTCATGTTGAAGCAACACCAACAAGGTTCTGCCATGTTGGATACCGTGTGGCGTTACGACTTTGAAACGGCTATTCATATATATTAACACTCCACCTCCGTTTTCTGTACCCGACTGCATCGGAAGAGTGTCACACCATGAAATTTCACTTCATCACTTCCACTGTTGCGGGACAGACATGTTTCAGCCCGGATTATGATCTCCAGATCCATCTGAGAGTATATATTTATGACCTCTCCCAGTTTGCCTCTCAATCCTCTTACGTTGCTGTGGAGGCATTTGATGGTTTGTCTCATCACCCGGTGCGCCTCTGCAGTGACATCCGTCCTAATATTTTCAAGCAAGTTTGCCAAAATGGGTTTGCCGGTTTTCTGAGAACTGGCTTGTATAGTGTTGTCCGTTAGAGACCGTGGTGTGCATGTCTCGTACCGTAGATTGTCGTCCCATTGCTATGGGAGGCTCTCAGAAAATTCAATGTGACTGGAATGATCATTCTTCGCACTATACTAAGCCCGAATTCATCAGTTACAGAGACTTAGTATTTGTGAAATTTAACAGACGAGGAAGCAATTATATGCTAACTGCCATGGTTGTGACTCAGATTAGGAAGGAACGTTTAGTCAAATGTCTCTGAAATGATGGGAGGATTTCTTCCGCAACTTGTGCCGCGTCTACACTTACCCTCAACGGATGAGTTTCCGTTTGGCTACCTTTTGACCCTTGAATAGACAGCATATTTTGGCTAGGTTACTGCTCATTCAAAGCACTGTACAGTATTTATCTCACTGTCCTTTATCATTGACAACCGTAGTTTACAGTAAGCTTCCTACTGACAGTGCAAGATTAAATAAAATTAGTGAATTTTAACTAACGTCACTGTCCCTGATTTGCAGCGTTTTGGAAGCTATGATGTCGTAGATTCGTTTCTTAAGCTCACCCGCTGCTCTGTACTAATAAGAGATATTTCCTTTTTACCACAGTTGGTGAATTCGTTGGTATATTAGCTGTTGTGGCTGCTAAACTTTTTATATTTCATTGATTTTTGTTGGGCAAATTATGTTTGCTACTGGGGATCAGTGGATGTATTTTTAAGCGATCTTTCGCGTCGCTGTCGTTAATTTTGTAGGCTTAATGAGTTCACGATGAAAAAATATACCAGAACCATGAAACCATAGTACTGTCTCGACACAGCGACAATGAATCCAGCCACTACAGAAGTTATATTCAAATGCAGAGTTGCTGATTTTAGCTGGCACTGGGCAAGTGACACAATAGTCACTGTTGTGTTCCTTCTGAACTGTTAGGTTCGCCACAGCAGCCAATTACATCCAAGGATTTTCCTAGTGGGAAATGAAGTCTCAAGGTCAACTGATCAGCCCATGCTCGCAAACTTGAAATCTAAAACCAGGCATTGATCAAGCGAGCTCTGGGGAACTAACATCCCCAACACTCCTTCCCGTTTTAATAGCTTGTGCTCCTGCGGTCGACTTGCATTTTGACTATAGTTCGCCGCTGTCTGAGAGGATATCTTCTGGAATGGTGAACAGCGTGCTGCCGAGTTTCTCCCCGTGGTAGGGCAACCGGTAGGTTGAAAGTATCGAGCAGGATGTCAAGGGGAAAGTCTCTTGCTCTTGACGGGGGATCTGGGACAAGCCGTCTGCGTATCTGATTTCGATGACGTGACCATTTATTAACTCCTACCTCTACTTCGTACATAACTCGCCCAACCCTTCTGACCACTTGCGCTTCTGCCCAAGGACCATGGTTCGTTCTGTAGTCACGGGTAAACATAGGGCATCCCACTTCGTAAGCGGATTATCTTTATGGCTTTGTCTCTACTAATTTTGGTGCATTAGTCGGATGCGTCAGGCTGTGGATCGTTTTCGGTCTTCTTCCCATCAGGATTTCCGCTGGGGACTATTGTAGAATCTATTTTGAAGGTTTTGTTTTTGGAAAATCCCTCCATGTATATATATTTGTGTTATGATCTGACTGACTCTTTCTGTTGATATTTTGGTACTGTATTTGATCCCATTTTGGGATTTTATCATTTGTATCTTGTTATTATTTCTATATCTTGTACTTATATTGAAGTCCCTATGTTTCCTTCTGGACTATATATGTGTTGTTAAAAATTGATACTTAATATGGCTACAGCCATTTTTGGATTTGATACTCCAGCAGCAGATCGTGGCAACTAACTGGAAGCACTTATTCTTCCAGTGTTGAAACTTATTGTTGTGATTATAAACTCGAGCGTGTAATATTGTTTTGGTAATTGTCTGTATTTCCTTTGTTGATTAAAAATAGAATCGTTCTTTTCCGAATTTGTCATTTTTGGACTTGGACTGGGCGAGACGCGTGTGAACCTACACCTTTTGGATTCAGAGATCACTGCGAGAGTAATAAATATTTCTCTAGTTCAAAACAATATTTGGAGGAGGATCGTTTGGATATTTTATCGTCAACTAGTTCAAAACCATATTTGGAGAAAAATCCTTTGGATATATTATTGTCAACAATAATTGAAGAAACGGAACCGGTGAATTCTAATATCTGATCATTAATGTGTCAATAATTTGGAGTTTCTTTTCCGCTGAATTTCAAGTGCTATAATGAGCTCTCGTAAGGAGCCAAACACGAATCGGGGTGGAGCCTATGAAGAATCATGGAATGACGACCCTCCTGTTAAAATGCAAGTTTCCTCTGACTCTTCATGTTTAAAAGGTTCACTCTCTGATAAGGATGATATTATGCTTAGTACTTGTTATCGTAAGCCATCGTTAGAGGGCATTAAAGGGACGTAGTTTGGACGAGAATTTTAAGGTACCTGGGAAAGGTATGATGTCTAAGACAGCGGTAGTAGGCTTAGAATTGCCGAAGGTTGAATTAAGTTATTTTGATGGTCGACACCGTGATTATTTTAAATTCATGCAACAATTTCAAAAGTTTACAGAACCTAGAGTTGATGACGATAATCTGCGCCTATTGTATCAAGTCCATTATTGCAAGGGAAAGGCAAGAGTGGCGATTGAGGGGTGTCTTATCATGGAACCTCGGACAGGTTTTAAAGCGCTAAGGATATTCTAAAACAGCTCTTTGGACAATCGCATGTAATTTCTCGTGAAACATTGGAAGAATTGTTTAGGTCTGGGAATTCCGACTACAACAACGCAGAACAGTTATCGAATTTAGCAATCAAGATGCAAAACGTGGCTATGACTTTGGAACAGTTGAATCGTACTGCTAAATTAAATTCTTTAGTAACATTAGAGAGAATAGTGAGGCTTTTACAGCGTTCCATGCAAGTCCAGTGGGCGGACCTATCAGTAAGGTGGATTGAAGAAGATAGGGAACCGACTTTCACTAAACTTACTGAATTAGTATTAGCGCGAGCAAGAATAGCTGGTAGCAGATTCGGTTGGCTGGCCAATCGACCAAAAATAGGACGGGACGTGAAGATGAGTTGCCACCTACAATCGAAACATGCGAACACATCAATCGTAAGGCTCACTTGTAGCATTTGTACTGGCAATCACATTGTTACTAAATGTCTCCAGTTTTTAGAGCTTACCGTTCGAGATAGGTGGAATCAAGCCAGAAAAAAGGGGATGTGTTTCATCTGTCTGAAGCAAGGACATAAGGCTAGCGGTTGTAAGACGACAATCCGTTGTAGTGTCGATAAGTGCCAGAAAAAACATCATGTTTTGCTGCATGAGGGCTTGACCACGAACAGGTTGGATGATAAGCGGGATTCCCAGTATTGTTGCGGACTTACCACACCACTAGGCTGTCAGGTATGCTTAGGACTGATCCCAGTACGAGTGGGATCGGGATATGCTTTTTTGGATAACGGTTCCGATTCTACATTGATAACATCATGTGTGAAATCGCTTGGGTTGCAGGAAGACTATGAGTTAGTTGTGGTGCAGACCGTAGGAGGTGACAAAACGGCAGAGAGTACGAACGCCACCTTCGAAGTGCATTCTTTAGATCAATCGGGACATATTGTTATCGAAATGGCGTTGGTCGTATCTAGCATACCAAGGCATAAGCCCACGATGTCAGCAAAGA